AACCAGCCTCTGGGTAAAGACTAGTACTGATAAGCTCCAACCTTACTTCCTCTTGTTCCCCTCCTCTCTCTCTCTCTCTCTCTCTCTCTCTCTCTCTCACACACACACACACACACACACACACATGCAAGAACACTGCACTCTGCTGGAAGATAGTAGTACATATAGTAGTACAATATTATTTATTTCACACAAACTTTTAACTTTGACTCAAAAGATTTTCAGGTCAAATTTCAAAATGATTTCATACATCAAGAACTACTTTGTTTGTAGGGGGTAGAAGTTAGGACTTTTGCCAGACTGAATGCTAAACAACTCCATGTGTTATCCAGGATCATGTCCTGGAAAATAGATTACAGTGCAGGTCCTGAGCCTACATCAAAAAATTGGATTGAAGTTGCTATCAACGTGAAAGGCAGATGCCATAAGTTAAAACACACCTGCCTTTGTTAAAAAAAACTTTAACAAATAAAAACAGATCTTCTGCATTTATGGGCACTATGAAATGCAAACATCAAAATCTCTATTTGTCAATACAATTGTATTAAAATAGCCTATATTCACAAATCACGAGGGGCCTCACAAGGCTTAACAAGGTGTAACATCCTCTGACCTTAACTACCAGAGTGAGGAAAACAGGCAGAAACCTCAGAGAGAGTCACAAGTGAGGGATCAGACGGACAGATCACTATTTACAACATTCAACATACAACAAAAACATAAAGGGACAGGTGTATCACTGTATTTATACAAAAAGAAAACGTCCTTTTCAGTGTTGCAATTTGATTCTGGCATCCTATGGAACATTCAGGTCAAGGATGCTCATAGTTCTTATAAAGCCAAGGCTAAATGTCCTGAATTTAGGCTTTAAGAACGACAGACTAAGTGCATCCATGTTCACATAATACAAATCACAATGTATATTGTATTTATATATTTTTTGTTTAGTTTCTATTTATGCCACATCTCCCCAAGCAGTTATTACAGATGGCTCATGTGTGAGACTGTGTATTACAGTGAGAATATAATGCTGTCTCCACAATTACAAGATCGTGATAAATGGTCTGATGAGTGATTTAACGATGGTGAACCTGACAGTCAGAACGCGGGTTGAATTTCCCCCCTGTTGTGATGACGTCTAATGTCTGCGCCACGTTGTACCCACGTGTGGACGTCTCTTTTTTGCAGCGGCAGCAAAACATCCGCAGTGACGCTGGTATCAGTGCGCACGAAGAAAACTTTGGATTTCTTTTCTCTCTGACATTAAACCATCCCGAAGAACAAGCTGCGAAGGTTTCTACCACCAGAGTCACTTTTTCTAGACCATGCCCCACGACCCCGACCCTCCTCCGGCTAAAAGATTCAAGCCGGGGTCAGTGTTCTTCCGTCTGGATAAGAACAAGCCTGGAATGCTGCTTCCTAGAAAGGGCAATGCGACCACTCCGATAGAAGTCCAGAGGAAACAGCTTCCGATCTACCAGGCGAAACCTCAGCTGCTGAACCAACTGAGGCAGCTGCACAATGTTATTCTGATCGGTAATAACCAGACATGGTGGCTGTTTGTGATCATCACTACTTTTCTCGTTGTCAGCCTCTGCACCTCATGTTCGTGTTAATCCACTTTTCAGTGTGTTACACCAGCAGTGCCTTGTTTTGACTCAGCCTCATTCCTCTCGCATACACACATCAGGTGAGACCGGATCAGGGAAGACCACTCAGATCCCCCAGTATCTGTACGAGGCTGGCATCGGGCGACAGGGCATGGTCGCCATCACCCAGCCTCGCCGGGTGGCTGCCATCTCGCTGGCAGGAAGGGTGGCCGAGGAGAAGAGGACTCAGCTCGGCAAGCTGGTACGAACCGGAGACAGGTGTTCCACTGCTTAGTGTATACTTAAACACAATGATGCACAATAATAAACATCTCTCTGTGTGGAGGAGAAAAGGTAGCATGCATCTTTCTCTTGATACATCCTTGGAATCTCTGTATATCTGTATTTAGATAGAGCTTTACTGTTGATGACCACTCAAAGCTTTGCCATTCACACATCTGTGCATCTATGTGCAGCACTCTCTCTATCACACATCGTTTATACGCTGCGGGCACAGCCATCAGGGGCAACTTGTGGTTCAGTATCTTGCCCAAGGACATTTTGGCGTGCAGCTTGGGGGAGACAGGGATCGAACCACTTGCTACACACCTCCTGAGGCACAGACGTGACATTCGTTTTGGTTTATTTTTGTGTATCAGTTGTAGCGCCACACCACCAGTTATCAGTGTTTGTGAACGTGTCTACTCTGTGGAGTGTCTAAACCCGGGCCCACCTGCCGCATCCCACAGTCTTGCCAGACAGTTTTTTACATGGTGGGAAAATCTCAACTGTGGCATCTAATATCAGTAGATTCAAGGTGTCTTTATTATCCTTGAGAGGCAGTTAGTAGAACAGCCCTCAGTTCTGATCAGACCACATCAATAAATACAGATGCATCACATTGAGTCATTTAAAAAGCCGATGGCAGCGGGGATGAATGACAAGACGAACAAGTGCAACAGTGTTAAGTCTCACTGACTCAAACTTCTCCTCAGGTTGGCTACACGGTGCGATTTGAGGATGTCACCTCCTCCGAGACAAAGCTGAAGTTCATGACAGACGGCATGCTGCTGCGTGAGGCCATCGGAGACCCGTTACTGCTGCGCTACACCGTGGTGGTCCTGGATGAAGCCCACGAGCGCACCGTGCACACTGATGTGCTGTTCGGCGTGGTTAAGACTGCTCAGCGCAGGCGGAGAGAACTCAATAAGATTCCCTTGAAGGTAGGAGAACAGTTGGAGCTGCCCTGGGTTGAATAAAGTTTTACTTTCGTCGTCAACACTCAACAAAATCTTGCTCTACATTTTTATATTCAAGCTCATTGATCTCTTTTTACTTTTTTCTCGTTTTTCCTGCACAGGTCATAGTGATGTCGGCCACTATGGACGTAGATTTGTTCTCTGAATACTTCAACAAGTCACCAGTGCTGTACCTGGAGGGAAGGCAGCATCCCATTCAGATCTACTACACCAAGCATCCCCAGTCAGACTACCTGCAGGCTGCACTCGTGTCTGTGTTCCAGATCCATCAGGTAGTTGTCAACAATTAACCTTCAGCCAATCTGTCCATCCCATTCTAGTGTACGCAATATCTCAAGAATTTCTTAAAGTTCAATTGGACTAAAAGATGGACTGATCAGATTTTGGTGTGCATCTCATAAAACCTATCTTTGCCTCGTGAACGTGTTTTCTTTACAACTCTTACGGTGCACCATTCACACCAAACACAACACAAATATTTCACGCTGTGAGGTTATTTAAAAAGTCGATGCAAAAATGTATTTATTAATCACTGATATCTAGAGTTCTGTTTTCAGTTTTTACAGTATCATGTGTTTCTTACCGTATTATAAGATAGCAAACAGTGAGAGGACATTTTCCTTGGTGCACGTTCATGTACTGTGATGACTCTTCGTGACACTGGAACAGAACGTGGTCTCGTTGTGTGCACGCAGGAGGCGCCTCCGTCCCATGACATTTTAGTCTTCATGACGGGTCAAGAGGAAATCGAGGCCCTGGCGAGGACTTGCCGGGACATCGCCAAGCATCTTCCTGACGGCTGCGGTCACATGGTAGTTATCCCGTTGTACGCATCGCTGCCCCCAGCACAACAGCTCAGGGTCTTCCAGCCAGCTCCCAAGGTAAAGACAACAACAAACAGAGTTCTGTGAATAAACAGTCACTTTGGTTTTGGACAGAATGTGTGAAATCTGTGTGCTGCTGTTCTCTAATGTGTTAATCTTTAGGATACGTCTGTTTTGGCTTCTTTACAGTAGGAGAGCCACCGAATAGTCAGTTTCTTGTCATTGTGAAGTTGTGTATCATTGTCTCATTATTTTCTATTGTCACACAAAATGTTGGTTCTCTTTACTTTCATTCAGGGTTGTAGGAAAGTCATCCTCTCAACCAACATCGCTGAGACGTCAGTTACAATCTCTGGGATTAAATATGTCATAGACACAGGGATGGTGAAGGCCAAACGCTTTAATCCTGGTGAGAGGATTCAGTCTACACACACACAACCACACGCACACAACCACACACACACACACACACACGCACACAACCACACACACACCCCCACACACACACACACACCCTTGTACTTCCATCTTTATGAGGACAGTCATTAGCATAATGCATTCCCTAACCCTTTGCCCTAACCATAACCATCACAAGTAAATGCCTCATCCTTAGTGTAGTATGTAAGTTTGGTCATGTCAAATGTTCTTTATTGTTTTCATTAACACTTATGTTAAATATAATTCTCCTAGCATGAATTTCATGTAGTTTTATTACTGTTTTTTATTATTCTTTTTTTTGAATAGTCTTTATTTACTTATTTGTTTTTTCCTTTTACGATGGGATTTTAACCAGTCAATTATGGTTTTAATATGTTTTAACCTAAACTAACATAAACCTCACCCTAAAAGACTCAACCCTCAGTGAAAAGTTAAGATCAACAAAATGTCCTTGTCTGTGCTTAAATAGATCCTCACAAAGCTATAAGTACACACACACACACACACACACACACACACACCCTAATTTTAGAATTTTTCTATCAGATCATTTCGTTTATGCTGAATAACACAGTGAATTGTGTCGTTGTTGTGTCGTTTTATCTTACATGTGTTGTGTGACTCTGCAGATAGTGGTTTGGAGGTGCTGGCAGTGCAGCGGGTCTCTAAAGCACAGGCCTGGCAGCGATCGGGTCGAGCTGGCAGAGAGGACTCTGGCTCCTGCTATCGTCTCTACACCGAGCAGGAGTTTGACAACCTCATCCCCATGACTGTGCCTGAGATCCAGAGGTAGGACTCTGTGTTTCATGCAGTTAATAAACCTCAGTACAGTGTGTGCTGCCCAGCAGGAACCCCCCCCCTGCATGTTGATTTATTTGGGTCAATGTGATTGAATAGCCTCCTTAGCCTCCCCTCTGTGCGTGTGTGTGTGTGTCGCAGGTGTAACTTGGCCGGCGTGATGCTGCAGTTAATGGCTCTGGGAATTCCAGACGTGATGAATTTTGATTTCATGTCAAAGCCCTCTCCAGGTAAGATGATCATAAATCACTGGGCTCCTCTGGTCATCCTGAGGGTTGATACACCGTAGTGACCAGTTTGTGTTTATCCCAGAGGCCGTTCACTCTGCTGTGGAGCATTTAGAGCTGCTGGGAGCCGTGGAGAGGAAGGAGGGCCAGGCTTTCCTCACTGCTCTTGGAAAGAAGATGGCAAGCTTCCCCCTGGAGCCAAGATATGCCAAGGTAGAAAGAGCTTCACACAAAAAGTAACTGTGTTCAGGAGTTCTGCATTGATTTGTATATTTAGTTGAAGATGACATAAAGTCTATAATGCACAGTGCCATTTGGTTTAACACATTTCTTCCTTTCTCCGTCTCCCAGACCATCCTGCTGTCCCCGGAATACTCCTGTTCTGAGGAGATTTTGTGCATTGTGTCTCTACTGTCAGTGGACACTGTATTGTACAACCCTCCGGCCCGGCGGGAAGAGGTGCTCGCAGCGCGCAAGAAGTTCTCCTCCAGCGAAGGAGACCACATGACCCTCCTTAGCATTTACAGAGCATTCAAGAAAGTCAGTGGTAATAAGGTGAGTAAATCTGGACGAGAGGAAAATATATTAATACATGTAAGGGCTGTGAGTTTTTCCAAAATGTTTTTTTGCAGTCAGATGAGGTTGAACACTTAATGATGCTCCGTTGTCTGTGGTGCCTCCTCTGCTGCTGCTCACAGATGATCCCACAGATTTGTAATAAGGGGAGTTGCCATCTATAGTGTAAAACCCAAAACAAGGCCAGACGCCGACTCTTGGATACCCTGGTGTCACTAATCAGACCAGGACGGCTTTGCTTGCAATTTTGTAGAAAAACACCTTAACATTACTGACTTACTTTACTGAAAGTCCAAGCCAGCGGTGATCGCCCTCTACTGGATCAGGAGACACTACTTCAGACAGCCTGATGAGCTTCTAGACTGTGTAATTGGAATTTAATCAAGTCATTACAGGGTGAATACGAACGTTTCCCCCCAGAGTCGAATGAATCTTTGAATTTGGAATAAAAAATGACAGCTCTAATACATGAATGACTAAGCGAAACCCAGAGATTAGATCATGTTGCTGAGCTTCTTTATAATCCAGTGTATGTTTGCTGTTAAAGGAGTGGTGTCGGGAGAACTTTGTCAACAGCAGGAACATGGGTCTGGTGAAAGATGTCCAGGCACAACTTAAAGAAATCTGCCTTAAGGTACGTGACTAAATCAATGTAACCACTGGATGTATAGTGGGAATGTGAATGTTCTACGTAGGCCTAAAGTCACAGCAGTAGAACCAGTAGCTCATGATTCTGTTTGTTTTACCAGCTGAATTTGAAGCTGGAGTCATGTGGATTGGAGACGGGGAACGTTCGCCGCTGCCTCGCCCACGGGATGTTTGTCAACGCCGCAGAGCTCCAACCCGACGGCAGCTACTTAGCTCTGGACACCCACCAGCCTGTGGCCATCCATCCCTCCTCGGTCCTTTTCCAGGCCAAGCCAGCATACGTGGTCTTTAATGAGCTGCTGCACACGTCGCGCTGCTACATGAGAGACCTCTGTCTAGTGGACGCCGACTGGCTGCTGGACGCAGCACCAGAATACTTTGGCCGCAAGCTCCACCTCACCAAGAGCTAACCAATAGAGAAACAGGACACCTTTCTCAAATCACCCAGTGACTGTAATACTGGAAAATGGTTCCTCTTTACAAAACTAAATTTGGATAAAGACACTTGCTACAAATCAGAAGAGTCTGAGGTTCCGTGCAGTTAACTTCTCTGGATTTCACTACCTCTCAGTTGACAAGCATCTGGCATGTGTCACTGCAGCAGAAATCTGCAAACTGAGGCCTCACAACTTCTTTGACCTCTTCCAGACTCTTACTCACATTTTTATAAACTCTTTTCCTTCTGCCTGATATTCATTCTTGCCATTCAGCCACATGTTTAACATTTTTAAGAATAGATTCTTTTTTCAGGTTTCATGCTCCTGTTCTTTTAAGGTTTGCATGCATTTCTGAAATCTGTTGATTTTGTTCTCAAAGTCAAATTAACATCACAAAATATTGTGTTTAGTTGTTAAGCTACCTTCTCATACAAGGTAATTGACTGACCAGTTCTGCCTGAAAGTTATTAGCCTCTTGGCTAAGAAAAGCAATCTTCTCTTAAATGTTCCCACTATGTCGTGTAGGTTTACACAAAGTGCTCTGAAGGGGTTTCATACACGAGGACGTTAGCTTTGTCTTAATCTATAAATTCCTGTAATGATATTAAACATGAAAACACCAAAGTTAGTGTAAAAACATAGGGTGCTTGTGCATGCCCCTTTTTTTACACAACTACGACTGTATCACACTTTCCCAAATACATGCACGTCAGGAGAAGCAGCATGCCTTATTCTCCAGGTTCTACCCTAGTTTCACAGATCCACGACTCAGACTGCAAAGACTAACCACGGACGTATCGTGACGACCAATGGATGCAAAGCAATGCATGAAGATTGTAGTTAGCGATCTGATCACTCAGGTCTTACATACTTTGTAGAATGTAAATCTCACCAATTTGAAGAATAGGATGGATGCTCCTCTTCTCTTCGGTTTTTTTACACTGGACTCAGGATTGTACAGTATGGACTGTAACCTGAATAAAAATTACAACTGTTTCTAAGTTTACAAACTATTAAACACCAGATGCTTCTGGTGTTGCTGAAGAGATCATCAGACCTACTCTTACATTCTGGTCGTGTGTTCAGAGATCGAGGCTCTTGCAGATCAGGCTGCCCATGAGGTTTTTAATTAGACGGTTTAAGATCTGCATGTGCTGTCGTCAATTTTACACAATTAAATGCACGCTTTTGATGAGTTTAGTATAACTATACTTCCTGTAATTTGTTATAGTCTACACAGATGCTATAATTTCTAATAAAAAAAAAAACACACTGCCCAAGTGCACGAGTCTGCTGTGAATGTGGAGAGTAAAGATGCAAAGATGCTCATGGGAGTTTTCAACTTCTTGGTTTGGACAGAATATAAGGAAAATATATCATAGAATAAATTAAGTGCTATATCAGTATAAAAATAAAAGCATAAAAACTTTTCAAGTCCACAGGGATTAAAAACAGAGAACAGACTTGTTCCAGTGTTTCTGTTGTCTCGGTTAAAACCCCTTGTGATCACATTTCTTCACTTAGTCAATCTAGACATAACCAGATATATCTCACACACACGTGGTGCTTCAGATGCTGTAACCTTCCAGTCTTCACTGAGGTCAAATCTAGGCGCTGCAGCTGGAGGGCCTTCATCAAGCCACAGGGGGCGCTGTTGTTTTGATTGGAACCTGGATGTCAGAGCCTATATTAAAAAAAGTTATAATCCATTCCTTTTAATTTAAGATAAATGATTTATGCAGCATCAAGGAATAGTGTTTTTGTAATTATAAAAATCCAGATGATCTTGTAATTTCGCCTCTCTGGGTTTTAAAGTTTCACTTCCGGTGCAGAGGTCATAGCGGCGACAGGTCAATGTGTCCTTCCACACGTGTGTTACTGTCATCTTACAGCAGCGGCTCTCAGGCAGCAGCTCGTGTGTCTTCAGACTCATTTATTCTCCGGTCAGTCGCCTCATTATTCACCTCGGTCATGCTGAAGTCTGTCGTCCGGGCGGTGGGAGCCGCCGTCCGCGTCTCCTCAGCCACCGCGTCCACAGCCCGAGCTCTGCCGCTCTGCTGCCCGACTCTATGCTCTCCGAGCTCGGCCACAGCGCGGCCCTTCACCCGCTCCCTGTGGATGCTCAACAACAACGGAGCCTCGTCGGGATACCGGCCACAGTTGATCAGCTCCAGAGTGCGGAACCCCTCGGTGTCGTGTGGATGTGGAGGACTGCACACAGAAGGTATTTAACTGGGAACCAGGAGACCAGGGAAGCTAAGCTAAGCTAGCTAACATGAGACAGTGCTGCATGTTGAGGGAGTACCAAACTGTGGAGGAGACTTTACTACAACATGTTCAGTTAAATTAATATACTACATTTATACATTTAACCACTGAACTGATTTGGATCTTTTGTCAGTCATCAGTTAGCAAGGATAGCATCTAGTCTCTCGATAATTAGCATTCACCTTGACAGACAGTGGCTGTGAGCAGAGGTTACATTAGGATTCAGTCTGTCCTGATTTGGAGAAGAAAATACATCTACTCTTATTCATGTATCTATATATATTATACAATCGATATATATTGATTGAAAAATGGTTTGACACTTTGTAAAATAGTTTCCAATAGAAATCCTCCTCACTGTCAGTTACACATGTTCTGTAATAGCCTACATTATTAATTAAACAGCATCAGTTATGGGGTTTTATGGGAAATTAGTATAAATCATAAGGTTTCATTCACTTTAAATCGAAGTCTGTTTATTTATGATCCACATTGTTTTGCTAACTAACAAACTAAATGAACAAAAACCTCCCTGATAAACTAGCTGACGTTATAATAAATGTGGTGTAACATGCTTGCCGCAACAATGACATCATTTGAACTTGAATTACTGTGCAAGACATCTTCATTTTTCTACAGGTGATTTTATTAAGCACTTTATTGGCCTTTTCCTATTTAAGATGGTACCAGGCATAGTCTGGTTCATCAAATCAAGTTATGTCTTCACCTGCTTCACTGTATCCACTGCAGCCTCTGCTCTGCCTGCTGTGTGGTTGGAGGAGCACACACTGTGAATAGCATCTGTCTCTAAGGAGAACAGGGCTGAGAATCAGGCAAATATATATGATAACGGTGAAAAATAACACATCCAAGAAATAAACTCCCGTCTCTAACACAGACTTATTAGATGGACAGCCTTTGCTTGGGGAAAACACATTAGTGCCTCATTTATGTTCTCCAACCCATGGCTCTGTCTAGAAAAAGTGACAAACTCACAGCTAAAATGAATGGTCCTCCTGTGTCTCAGTTTATCTCTGTTGCCTTCTGTCTCATGATGGAGTCATTTAACCCGTCTTAAACTTTTAACAGGTGACAAAGCATTTGGTGTTTTCCTGTCTGATGAAATCAAAGAAGAGCAGAAGATCCAGAAAACCAAGACTCTTCCTAAGCTGTCTGGAGGATGGGAGCTGGAGATGAACGGAACAGAGGCTAAACTTACAAGACATTCTTCAGGAGATAAGTAAGTCGGCGGCTGTCCAGTGACTGCAGATATAATGGTTTGGTGAAAGCTACTGTATATGAGCTCATAATGCATCTGCTTTTCCACAGAATTACTGTCACATTCAATGTCAACAACAGCATCCCTCCTAACTTTGAGGAAGAGGCAGAACAAGGACAGCAGAAGTCAGCCGAAGAAGAGGTGAGCCCTCAGCAAACCTGATTGTTTAAGTCAGATATGGATGTAAAAAAATATACGCAGTCATAACTATGTTGATATTTAAGAATTTACTGATTGAAGTTGACATTAAATTATTTTAATTCCGTTTACAGCCAGAAATTGTGTCATCACCAAACTTTGTTGTTGAAGTAACGAAACAGGCTGCAAAACATTCCCTGGTGTTTGACTGCCATTTCCCTGAAGATGAGGTAAGCACAGTAGGTGTTAATTCATGTAAGATGTAAAGTATTGTGAGGAACAGCATGTCTCTGACCTTCCTGTGAGATAGCCAATCTGTGAAGTAAAAAATAATCTGGATTTGCATTTGCAGATGAGTCATGGTGAAGGAGAGGAGGAGAGTGACATCTTTGCTATTCGTGAGGTCAGTTTCCAGCCTGAGGGAGATACAGAGTGGAAGGAGACGAGCTATACGCTAAGCACAGACTCTCTGGACTGGGTAAGACCTGAGATGGTGAACAGAAAATTACATAATTTGCATAACTAGTGCCGCGCTAAAGCTGCCTGTTTGCCTGGCCTGTGTTGATGCTCTGGAGCTACTTCAGAATTATTCCTTGACATTAATAAGTCCTCCTCAAACAGTTCTACAATATACTGTCACTTTTTGTTTGTGTGCTGGACATTGTGTCTAACAGTCTATGGTGCTGAGTGAAGTGAGAAAACTTGATGTGAATGTGATCATCCTACCTGGTTCATCTGCAATGAAGATTTTCTAGTCAATGTTTTTCAAAAAATGAAACTGAATTTGCTCTATTACTGTTTTCGTGTGGTTTATATACAAGTTCAAATTATTTACTTGCTGTTATTTTTGTATAAATTGCATGTCTGCTATTGAGAGAGAGGTCTGTTCAGCCAGCGACACAATCTTCAGACTCAAGTTCACAGCTATTCAAAATAAAAGATCTTTAATTCCACTTTGTATAAAGCCTTAATGCAACAAAATGAATTTTGTGCATTTACTTTGAAGATAACTTAAGAGGGTGTGATTTTATGAATGTTGTTGCCATGAAGGGGATCATAACCATGGACCCCCATCAATGTCTGTGTCAGTTCTATCTAATCTGATATATATGTCTGTAGTTTATCAGAGGGCATAAAAGAAGACATGTTTAACTCTGTCCACTGATTGTTGGCACACTGCCCAGTCTCCACTGACTGCTACAGAGAGCTGCTCACCAGAAGTGGAATTAGTTGGTAGATAAGAGTTGATGAGACTGAGGATAGTAGCGTCACTTTAAATGACATGGGATTTCATGCTGTGTTGTTTTTCAGGCCCTGTATGACCACTTGATGGACTTCCTGGCCGACCGTGGGGTCGACAACACTTTTGCTGATGAACTGATGGAGCTGAGCACCGCCATTGAGCATCAAGAGTACATCAAATTCCTGGAAAACCTCCAGGGCTTTGTTAAATGTAACTAATGTTAGATAGAAGCTAAATTTCACTGATCTTTAAATCATGTCCTGGCAAATTTGGAAATCCGATGGTTCAATAAGTCTAAAGTGAATGTTGCAGCACTGAAAGATATGTCTGCTTGGCACGCTAAAGAGACTGACGTTAGTGTTCGTGACAGTAATTGTCACAATGACTGGGCTTGTTGTCTTTGATAAAATGTGACTTTATTTTTCTGTAACTTAAACAAGATAGAAATTTAAGTTAAATATATGAAGGTCATGACAATGTGCAGAAAGAAATGCCTCTCTATTCTGGAGTTACTGTCTTAACTGCAGTGGTTCAACATGGTCCAGTTACTATTTGTACATTTTCAAGTTCTCTCAAGCAAATAATGAACAAATTAGTCAGGATGGGGAATCAAAACACAAACACCGAAAGCAAATGAGTTTACAAAGTCACTCATGTGTGACAGCCTCTGTAACCCTGCTGAGTCTGACTGTTAGTTGGCTTTGATCAGGAGTTCATGTTAACACATATACATTCAACTCTGTGAGACCATAAAATCGGTTTAAATCTGAATGGCATATATCTTTGTGTTGAGAATGGAAGGTCTGTTCATTAAAACAGTTTGATATGAGTGGATGTTTTGAGGTTTTATTTCATCATATATATAGAAGTGGCCACATGACATTTATCAGAACCTCACAAATCAGTGAAATGATCGTAACCTTCAATGAATTTTTTGGAGGTTTGAGCTCTGAATATTTACCTCCATTGTTTTCATCCTGTCAATTTGAGAGCAAGATCCCCAGTTTCTCCAGTCGGAAGTCTCAACTGAATTGAACCCCAAAGGGGGGGTGATTGTTTTGAAAAATCCAGGCTCTTTACAGGTTTCCTGATAACATCCTGTTACTATGGGGGGGTTTATTTCACAGATAGGACTTATAGTGTTTGATTTGAAGCATTTGTTTGAGGGGGGGGCACCAGAGCTTCTTCTCTCTCTGAGCTGGGAGATAACAGGTGCACACTATCAAGTCAGTGAGTATCCATAGCAACGACATACACACAGAAGAGAGGGCTCCTCTTTATATTCTCTGATTTTTTTAAATTTCAAATAAAAATTTAGTTACAGGTTGATACCAGGAAACCTGTAATGAGCCTAGATTTTCAAAATAAGCAACCCCCCTCAGAGAAGCCCCCTCAGACAGCTGGTCCTGGAAATCTGTTCACAAACACAATCAGAGCCCCTTGACAGAAACCCAATTAGACTAAACCAAATTATAAGAAAACCATTTGACACATCGGAAAGAATCAACCAAGAACCAAAGCAAACTGGAATGCTATTCGGCCCTAAACAGAATGCTCAGTGGCAGATTACCTGCCTTGACCATGTACAGACTCAGTGAACACAGCCTGGTCGTGGAGAGAGGCCACTACAGGCAGACCTGGTTGCCCAGACAAGAAAGTCTGTGCACCCACTGCACACGGCAGGAGGTGGAAACTGAGCTGCACATTTAAACCACATCAGACAGACACTACCCACAGATTACAGCCTACCAAAAGGACTTTGAAAACATGGCTGATAACAAAAACACAGCAATGTGCAAACACAGCAGCAAGATTTGTGAACTGTTGTGACCAAAAAAGGGCGTCCAATAGAAAACAGCCACCGTGAAGGCTGTCAATCACCAGTGTATTCTGCACCGACCATTTGCACTGTGCTGATATCTGTACACAGACACACTCACTGAACATACATACAGAACAAATATTTTTAAAAACGATTATTAAAAAAAAAGTTGTACTGTTTATATAGCTCTCACTAACTTTTCTTTTTAACTGCAAATCCACATATTTCTATTTTATTTTAAGTTATTTTTTTAATTATATGTTTAAATTTCTAACGACACAGTCAGAATTCTTCTATGTACATTGTTGTTTTTACTCTTGTTTTGGCAACGTATGTCTGTTTCCCATGCCAATAAATCTCCTCTGAATATGAATTTGAATAAATAGATAAAGAAATTGATATAGAGATAAATAGATAAACAGATAGATAGATAGACAGATAGAAAGATAGATAGACAGACAGATAGATAGATAGATAGATAGATAGATATAGATAGATAGATACTGTATATATATAGATAGAGAGAGAGAGTGACAGATAAACAGATAGATAGATAGATAGAGAGAGATAGATAGATAGATAGATAGTTAGATAGATAGATAGATAGATAGATAGATAGATAGACAGATAGATAGATAGATCCTGAATGGAATTTAGAATAAGTAGAGACAACAACATATGGAAATGCTCTAATAATATTTCATTGGAATTGATGATGAGCCTGTATTAGAGTCCAGATGTATGGTTGTTATCTTTTCTGAGGACCTCCTCAGCAGGGGTCTGTTAATGATTATTGTCCTCAGGAAGTTGACAGAATGATCTGCTGTTACAACAGCAGAGCTCAGAGGTGTGCAGCTGCTGAGGTGGACAGATGTGTCTCAGCTGACAGATGTGAGCAGAGCTGGAACATCAGGAGAAAACAGGGGGGGGCGGAGGGAGGAGGAGGAGGAGGAGGGGGGGAGTCATCTGAGGAGAAAGTTCACAGTCTGCAGGAGAAGTCCACAGTGAGGGAACTACGCATGATGGCGGGGAAAGGACAGAGCCAGCTCCACGACCCATGGGAGTCGGACCCGGAGCCGGAGGTGGGCCCGGCTCGGGCGGCGCCGTCCACCCGCTCCTTCCCCTTAATCCAGGTCATCCACAGCGGACACTTCATGGTGTCGTCGCCGCACACCGACCCCGAACCGCGCAGGAGGGAAAGTGGCGAGTCGCTGAGGTACGACTTCGACACGGTGAACAGGACGTGGTGTCAGACCTACCGCTACCGCTCCGGCAGCCTGAGCATCGACCCCACTCTGACCCGCCTGTTTGAGTGCATGTCCCTGGCCTACAGGTGGGTCCCTGCTGCCTTCTCTGGAACCACGTGAAAACCTGCCTGAGCTCAGTTCAGCCGCTTCTTCTCCTGGAACTGCAGCCATTACTTTCAGTGGTTTAGTGAGCGTGTTCACGGCTCCATGTTTCACCAAGGACGAAAAACAAAGTTTAATGTCACTTGTTGTGGACGCTTGATAAAAAAGTAAAACAGATTTTAATTTCTGCACATAAACAAGTGTAATGAAGTGGATTGTTACATCTTCACAATGGTATTTTCACCTCCCTCTTGTTTATGGTAATGGCAAAGTTATGAATGCCATAATGACAACTGAGCGGATGTTGCCTTTAGTTTTCTTAACATTTCTACATTACAAATACTTGAAACTTGACATGCAGCCAGTGGTGGTCACCATGGACAAGAGTGAGGTGAGATTCTTCGACAAAATGTTTTTAGTGATATTTAATTTGAGCAATTTATCAGTACCATAATGAAATTTAAGTTGATTTCCCTTTAATTTCCTAAATTTGTCTGCAGTAAAACCTGACATACAGGTAGTGGGGGCCATCCTGAACAAGAGAGGGGCGACAATTGTTTTATATTACTTTGTATGATTTATTAAAAATAATATTTAAAAACAGCAATTTACGAGGGCCATAATGAAAACTGAGCTGACTTTCTCTTTAATTTTCTAACAAGTTCTGCAGTAGAATCTGCTGAAGCTTGGCATGCAGACAGTGGTGGTCACCCTGAACAAGAGTGACATGATGCTTCAAGCACCTTCATAGCAACACCTTGGTTAGATGGCATTCATTTTCAAGCTGCTGGTTTTCACAATGACGGACCACATGGCCGCGGTTTCTTGTTTGCAGCAACTTATTTAGAAAAATAACCCAGCAGGGTATAATTTATAAGAATATGATCTTTCCCCGTGCAGGGATCTCCTCTCTAGATGTATTTTTAAGAGCCACAGACACAGAGAGAGCTCCACCTTCAACTATGCCAGGAATTTTATTTCTGCACATGCATTTCCCTTTTAAAACTGTAAAGTTAAATTTCAGTTTTCAGCCCACTGAGTGGTTTTGTTGGAAAAGAGAGGTTTTTGCAGCCTCTTGTGCAATAGCTTGGAAAATCTTAAGTGAAAACTGGACTTTGATACTAGTTGGCAGCACCGGGCAGACTACAGTGTAACTGAGGGAAAGCAGAGAAGATCCTGAAATGATGCCTTCCATTTATTTTAGTTGGCCCTTTGCTTTGACTTAACACTGTGCTTATTTCAGGTTATTACATATAAACTTTGTTAATGGAAAGATGAACCATGCTAGTTTGCATTTAGGTGCATATCTGGAGCACACATGCACCCTTTCAAAGAAATCTCCTGCTCTTACTCTTTAAAAACATCTTTCAGTTCGAGTTCCCAACAACAACTGATGCAGAGAAGATATTTTTCTTTCAAGCCACTTTGTATCAGTAGTTTCATGACAGTTGCACAATAACCCCTGAAGAAAGAAGGTTTCCGATAAAATCAGACCACGTTCCCCTTAAGGACTGTTGATGTGGAACTATAATGTGGAGCAGGTATAGTGCAGTTATTTGTCATTAACTGGACTGGTGTTAATGAGTTCTCATCCTGACAGCGATGACACTCCATTAAGAGCATGTTGAAAATGACTCCCTCTGGCTTCCTAGCAACTTCCCAAGCACCTCACATCATGGGGCCTCCTCTCAGCACTCAACAGGATGAGGGACACTGGAAAAATAGTGCAAGATGTTTGCAGTGCACTGGTGAACAAGCTGATTGGACACTATTAGTCAAAATCAGGACAGGTTTCTAACAGATGTAGCCACTGAGATTTTCCACTGTGTCATTTTTTTCTCCAAAGAGTATTTTGTCATTTGTCAGTGCCGCCGATCATGAAGAGAAAAAAAATATTGAACACTGCACATTTCCCACAAACAAATCATCAGCATCATCATTTTTACGTTGATATTCTTCAAAGACTTCTCTCCCTCTGTTGCAGTGGTAAGATCGTCTCACCGAAGTGGAAGTCTTTTAAAGGTCTGCGGCTGCTGTGGAGGGATAAGATTCGTCTGAACAATGCCATCTGGAGAGGGTGGTACATTCAGTGTGAGGCCGCCACTCTTCCCCTTCCTCATGATGGACAATGACGTTACACCAAAAGCAACAGAAATTGGAATAAAATAAATAAATAAATAAATCCACACAAACTAGTGATTCCAAACTAAGGAATCCACTTTTTTTATAATAAATCTAAATTATTTTTTCTGATTTTCTTGCTATTTATCTGCTGTATCTTTAGATGGGGAGAGGAAGAAGAGCTCAGTGTGTGGCTTCGTCACCCCTCTAGAGGGCTCTGAGGGCGATGCCCATCGAAAGCCTCAAGTGAGTCCTCTGTTTTTTTAGGAATTTTTAAATCAGTCTTGTAGTATAAGATGGGTTCTTTTTGATTACATTATTAATGCATATTATTTTAGATGTATATTGCTGAGGCTAAATGTTTGTATTACAAGCTAATGACCCTGGACGTGTGTGATTTTAATATTTGTGTTCCACATCAACAGGCGATCGTGTTGGAGGGCAGCTACTGGAAGAGAAGGATTGAGGTGGTGATCAGGGAGTATCATAAGTGGAGGATTTACTATAAGAAGAGGGTGAGAGAACTCAATTTATATTTTGAGCTGTATGCTCGTGGCTCTGGGGATTGGATTGATATAACATTTTGTACTGATATACATACAAGATGAAGTCCTCTGACTGTAGGGATGGATATTTCCTGTAAAATATCAGAATTTTATTATATTCACGTACCCTAACAAATATTTGCAAATTAACTAGATTAGCAAAACAACCATAAAGACATTGATTGATATATGTGTTGTAATGTCTCAACAACTCTTGTATGGTGGCCCTGAGAGCTCAACGCATTACAACTTGAGAAGAAACACATGCAAATAGACACTATGAAGGGAGAAAAAATCTTCATCAATTTGACAACACAAGCACATGCTAACACATAATGCACGACAAACCCTAACACTGAAATTACAGAAACAGGCAAACGTTAAGTCTTTTTCAGATCAACATGTATTGTCTTTACTGTGGCGTTGATCTGATAAAGATAAAGAACAGCTCCTTAACATGACGTTAGTCTGTTTCTCAATGAAGTGTATTTCGTCCGATTACTTGAATTGGTAGTCTAACATTATACACAGGGCTAATGCAAAGTCAACAGCATTTATCAGAAAAACAATATAAATTGTTAAAATAAGCATTTTCTTTTACACAATTCATAATTTTTAACACTGAGGGTCCGGGATAGTCAACATCAGTAAGTTCTTGAGACTCAAATAATGGCAACAAACAGCACAGGCAATTTTCATCCCTTTTTAGTGTCCCCTGGAAATACTTCAGATGTGTTGAGAGTATTTGCTTTGCGCTTTCTAGTTGCAGTGCATGTGTTGACAGATTGATGATGTTTTGCAGGTGTTTTCTGAAGTTGCATTGCGTTGAGCTCTCTGGGCCACCGTCATTTTGGATTGATTGCTGTAAAATGTTGCACATATTAGCTGCAAACATTCGTGTCCCCAGCCGGATGCAGCTCAAATTTGAATTTGTTTTGTACTTTAGTTTGGGTCCAAACTCCTGCAAAAATAATGACATGATCAGTGCCAGTTGCACTGTTGTTAGCATGTCAACACACAAAACAAACACAGGGAAAACATTACCTGCTTCTACCACGTCTCTTTGCTTTGTCATCAATGAAACAGTTTCTCTTGCTCTCTCTTTGCAGCTTCAGAAAAAGAAGGATGATATTCTATCAATGCTGCAAGAGGTATGACAACACACAAGTCAAGTCTCATTATTATCAACTCCTATCATGAAAAAAACACAAATGAAGAGAAACAATAATTTTCATCCTTGAAGGCTGAATTTGGCTAATAGGCCCAGATTCTGTGTGTGTGTGTGTGTGCGTGGGTGTTAACCTGCTGGCATTGTTTTATGTTTTTATGATCATCAAAGTCCAAACAGCCAATAGCCTCCCGTGATTAACTAGAGAGGGAAAAAACACTGAATAGAAACAGAAACGTGCAAAACGACTTGGTCCACCATTTGTAGTCAACTGACGCATTTCCTGCAGCGACAATACCTCTCTCACATCTTATCAGGCTTCATCTGTATTCAGGTGAAATAGCTGCAGAATTTAATGTCATCAAATCTGACCTAGTTCAGCGGTGGGCCCGTGAGTTTGACGTCACTGAGGCGAAAAACAAACAAAAGATCAAGAGGAAAAATAGGAGAAAAGCAAAGAGAGGGGAGGGACTGTGGCGAAGCACCTCATTCATGATCGTATACTCGTGCCTTCGCAAATCACGGCCCCACTATTACTATTCTTTCACCTTTCTGTTGCACTGGACGCCCACATTTGAACTGCGGTCACAGTTAAGAGCACGACTGTCTGTGTGTGTCTGCAGATCAAATTGTTTGTGTACTGTGCAGCACATGAAAAGACCCATGTCAGCACATATCTCAGCACATATCTGAAAGGTCAAAGATTCCTGGAGCTGCTTTTATGCTCCGTGTTCCCAAAGTGTTATCTCGCATTTGACTGAACCGATTATTTGCAGTGGCTGTAAAAACAACACCTGCAATATTCGCTTGAAATCCTAGAAGTTGTTATTGTAATGTTTGTTTAAGTCATTTACTTTATAACACTTTGCGGCTATCAAAGCCTCATTTGAAATTGAATTGGCTAAATAAAGTTAGTGTGTTTTTCTCATAAAATCTTTTACATTCTGATTTAGGCAGGGACAATAGCTTTATAATCTTACACTAAATGTTGCCTTTTAACAGCTTTTGGTGATCACATCTTTCAGAGACTATTGTAAACTACTACTACACTGTCGGTCCTCATATTAAAACTTAGTCAATCATTTTAAGAGTGAAACAAAGTCCTCCCAGGCTCCTGAACCAGGTTATAAATAAAGGCTGTAGCAGGAACTCTGTGCTTCAACATGGGGAGTGGACCGTTCAACCAATCAGAAGTTTGTACTTTGATAGTGATTGAGTATTACTATTGATCTGTAGCCAGGCTACAGCTCTATAGATACCAATGTAGGTTGGTTGGGCGGTACTCCACAGTGAACCAGACTGAACTAGAATGTCACTCAATAGAGCACATTCCTCCACCAAGGTGCAACAGTTCCCTTAAATTCAATGAAGCTGCTCCAAATTTCACACACTCGTAAATATCAGTCTCCTAAATGTGTGTCAATTGGTTGGCCTTGGTTTTAAGTTGTTTTTGTCTTTTCCTCTCTGTGAGTCATGTCTGTCTGTGTTGTTGACATAATGGATTATGTATTTGGAAGGTGTCTCTCCCATCCCCCTTCACTTTTTCTTTTCTCTCAACTTTTCTGACCTCTTTACTTTTTTGAATCAGAAAACTGCTCATCGTAAACGCAGGAACCTCGGTTTAAAAAGTGAGTCCCTCAGAGCCACAGTTACACTTCACCATGTCCGGTATGTTCTGTGTGGTGCTGACAGGGCGTCTGGAGGAGTTGGGGTCGCTGCAGACCTCGTTACTGATTGGTAGAGCCATTTGAAAGTCTTTTCATTAGCATTATTCTTCATGGTAACAAACAATTTGGTAATATTTATAGGTTCCCTTTGCTCCAGAATGCAAATGATATATTTCAAACTATTGATTCTATTAAGAGGCATGATGAAGTGATTGTTTTGGGGGACATTAACAGTAACTGGCTTGATTGCTCTCCCACTAATGTATTTGTAACCGTAGACCTCACATAGAGAATCAATGAATCAGCCAGAGCAGATCATCTGTCCTCATCTCTGATCGTCTGGAGACCTGATAGGGGAATTCAATCAGATTTTTGTAACTGATCACTCTGTTATATTCAGTCTCAGGAAAACTTAAATGCCACTTGTCCTATGAAAACTATTAGACTGAGACAGTAGAATGTAAAATTTAAATTGTTTTATTCAATATATGACTCCTATTAATCTGAATAGATTTCAGTTAATTCCTTTTGTTGGTGACGGACTGTCTCTTATTCTGAATTGAGTTAAGTAAGTGATGAACATGCCACTGAATAAGAGTCAAAGGTAGACATCAGTTCACATCTTATCAGCCTTTTCAAACACATAGGTAAAGCCTAATATCACAGGAATGCATGTAAAACCAAAACAAAGACTACAAAATCCAAATACCATACAGTTTGTTATTATGCAGGATTTGTATAACCCCAGACTGTTCTGGAAACAAATGAACTGTATTCTCAATAAAACTAACCAAATATTATAAAACCAATCCAAATTCACCATATGATTATTTCTGATGCTTTCCCATGCTTTTATCTGTCTTTGTTTTCCCCTATTTCAATTCATTTTTCTTTAGAAAAATCATGTTCCATGATATACACTATTTTAGTTAAATGAAATTAGTTTTGCTTCTCATGATGGTTTGGAAGCTAAAGTTGCTGCTCATTATAATTTATCCCCTTGCAGATTCATTTAATTTGTCTCTGTCTTCTTGTTTATTTCGATATGGCAATTACAGCTACACCTATTTCCCAAGATACTCCTGTGTAAACAATTATTTGCCAATTTCTATTTCTTATATTATTGCCAAAATCTTCAAAACAAGTTTTCAGTCATGGTTCATCTACTACTACAGTCGAGGTTTCACCTCGATAATAGAACTGACCATTGTTTTACATATGAATCACTTTGAATTTGTGAATATTGTAGACAGATGTTTGGTTAAATTTTTCTTCATATCACCTCAGGCATATGCAGCATCCCTTCTTTTTTCACACCCAGAACTTTCTTCAGATGCAGGACGTTATAATACATAGCTCCATCCGACTGGTCTTATCTTCCTCTTTCAATTGCTTCAGAAAAAAACAAATTCATGACCTCATCTCAAGACAACCTGCTTTAATGCTTTTAATTTCTGTGTATACATCCATTCCTGTCTATTTGTGCTCTGTAATTGATTTATTATTTACGTCATTGGATCGAATCAGATTTTTCTCTGGGAGAGGCTGAGTGATCTGTGTATATCTGTGTATTTGTGTTGTATGTTTGTTGCATGTGTTTTAAAATTTTGTATTTGTGTTAAAAGCACCCTCCTGTATCCCCTTGCTCATATTCTCTGGTTCTTGAAGTCGAGGACGTTTGCTCTCTGGAGCAGTCCTGCAAATACTGCATCACAGCTATCTAGAGCGGAGGTGTGTCCCTCGGAATAATTTGACATGTCTAAGACAGATATTAAATAATATAAAACATGGAATGTTTCTGGAAACTTTTCATGGACCCCTGGCAGTGGTCCATGGACCCAATTTCGGAATCTAAAGGGATTGAGACATAGTGTTTTAGCATCAAGATCTCATATCTGCCTACATATTTTAATGTCAATATAATATCATTTCAGAATATTTGTTTATTTCATGCCACACATTTAATGCAGTGCACCACCCAGTTGTAGGAAAGCCCTTAAAAGTTTTTGAATTTTCCCAATCGGAAGTGAGAAATTTGGTGTCATTTTTCTTTTCTTCACCCAGGCAACAGCAGTTTGTTTTAGGCCTCAAGTCTTCCTGTTCACCCGCACGTGAATGTGAAAGTGCCACCAGAATTAGGTCAGGGACAAAGGCCCGCTGCTCTTACTGAAACGGTGAGACATCAAAATAAAGAAATGAACAAAGGCGACATAATGAGAATCTGTGAGGGGCTAGTGTTTTTGAACAATATGTCAAAAGTGCTTTTTCATCATGCACTGTATTTACACGCAGGGACACACACATGCATATATGCACACAGCAATCTTACCTCATTTCTGCTGGTTTTCACTTATATTCTCCCGCAAAGAAAAATAATCGAGGGGTGAATAAATAAATTACCAGCGGGTATGTCGTGTGCTAAGACGTAATCAAAACTGTTCACGCCTCCGTCTGGGCTTCCCTATAAATGTAGCGCCACACTTCCAAAACTGAGGGAAAAGCCTGAGTCAAGAGCTTCATTCTCTGTGAGTTTCGTTAACTGGGTTTAGAGAAGAGAACAGACCATTGGACTGAATTGCTGTTTGGCTGGCTGGATTTGATAATGGATACATTGATCCAATATGCTATATGTATGTAATTTTGTATGTGGATTCAATTGGGCTTGCTGTTTAGATATTTGTATTTTAGTTACTGGATCCATTCATTTTAAATATGAAGGGAGTTGGGTGTGTATTATTACATTTTTGTTTTAACCATTAATGCTGGATGTATTCAGGTGGGGCTAAATTCCATCAATGCACTATTCTGCATTCAGGCCTTCGCAGACCTGTGTGCAGGGCGCCCTCTGATGGATGGATCAGACATTGACTGTTGTTCTCTGTGGCTGATGTGCTGCAGGGTCAGATCGGCCAGGCCAAGCTGGACAAATGGAACAATCAGATGTACCAGGAGCCTGAGGCAGCTCCGGTGGCGGCCCACATGTTTGACCTGGACTGCCTTCTGTCTGACATCTCTGACACCCTGTTCACCATGACGCAAAAACCATGCGCCTGGGACAGCGACCAGCACGACAGTAAGTAGTCATTACACTGTGACTTTGCCCCCAGCCTCAAATATAATGTAAAGGATATATCACATATACTGTATGTATGCAATATAGAATGATATATAATGAGATGTGAATTTCCAATCTTTGGATATACAGTGATACTGTTAGTTATACTTTATGTTTTAAAGCTTGTAAAAATAATTATTTTCAAAAAAATGACTTCTGCATTTAGTGAGGACATATAATGCTGCAGGCACCAATCAGGATTTTGTATTTTTGAATACAGTTCTGTGATAAATTCTCTAATTCAAACAAATCTGATCAAATCACAAACATACAGCCCTGAAAAATCTTTAGATTTTTGCAGTGATACATTTGGTTGTTGCTTATTTAGTCATGACTATTTAAGGGAGTTTTTTTTATTTGTTTTCTATTTATATTCATTATTTTATTAATATATTTGTTTTCTTTCTGAGATAACTGATACCAGACTCATTCTATAACTGTTCATTCAATGTAAGATCACAGCCAGGAGAGGTTAGCGTAGTCCAGCGTTAAGACACAAAAAAAGTAAACTATGTACATTTATCATCCTCAATTTCAACTAAACCATGAGAAATAGTCAACAAATACACAGCAACTTTCTGTTTTTACTCTTTTTGAGTAGAGTAACTTTTATTATGTTTATTTAATTTGATCAGACCTTAATTTAAAGTTACATTTAGCAATAAACTCTTTACAAATCTATTAATAACACTAATGCTAACATGAAGCACAGTGAAGGTAGCATCATGACTGAGGAGCTGATGTGTAAATGTATCTGTGTATCATATTTACTTATCTTCTTGTCAGGGTCATGAAGATAATTACCTGCTGCATCACCACCTTCCACTGGTTGTCAGCTGGTGATGCAGCAGGAAAATGACCCTGAACACTGACGTAAAACAGAAAACTCACCTGTTAGAGTGGCCGAGGCACTAAGGCATCAAGAGTTTACAGGAGACATCTCAAGAACATGTCTGAGCTGAAGCATGTGGGTGGGAATAATTGGCATTGTTCAGGTCTGATCCGCAGCTGCAGAAAACAACGACCAGTTAATAAATCAAAGAGTTCACCTAATATGTCACCAGCACAATGAAAGTTAAATGCAGGCTAGTTCACAGCAACCAGTTAATGGAGAAAAACAGGTTATTCTAAATCAATTAATCAATCTAATCAATCAAATTTTATTCTTATAGGCTATATTCAAAAATCCGAGTTTGCCTCATGGGGTTAAACGAGGTGCGACATCCTCTGCCCTTAACCTTCGACTAGAGTGAGGAATGCTTCACAGACTTTGTCTTGTCACTGTGATGAAAAGGACAGACATTAGAGATCGATAATGATCTTTTCATCTGCCTCTCTGCAAGAAAGCAAATTAGTGACACATTGACAGATGCACTCACACATTTTTTCTATCTCGTTGTCCTTCCTCTTCAGCCTACACCAGCAATGCTGATATAATGCAGCCAGGGGTGACTCCGCTGCAGCCCAACCTGGATGATTTCATGGATATACCAGGTACTCTCTGTCTGTCTTCCAGTGGTATCTTCACATGTTGTGGCAGCAGATCAGTCAGATTTAGCTTCTTATCTCATCCATGGTGTTTCAGCTGCTCATCTTTGTCCTGCAGAGTTAATCATTTAATCACAGTTTGATGTTTGTGAACTTCAGTCAGCGCTGAGAATTGCTTTTCTTTTGCAGGGATTATAAAATTAGAAACACTGCAGAAAAAAAACTTTTTTCATTTTCATTATTTTCCAAATTAAATTGGTTAAATAAATAAAATAGTCTGGTGTTAAGTTTTTAAAAATAAATGTACAGCTAATTGTTTTTCCTGATCATAAGAATCTGACCTCGAATGGCACTCCTCTGTGGATGTGCTGTGTCTGCAGTATATTATTTGGTCCACGGGGGTTAAAGGGGGGTCAACAGAAGGGAGGAGCTGAGGGAGGGGGAAGTGAAAGAGGATGTATTTAACTGTGACCCCCGGCTCTGACACCAACTATAGGGCAAAGGATAAATAAAGGGATGGGCAGGGAGGTTTCCTTCTCTAAAACAGTGATTCTCAACTTTGGGGTCCAGACACCTCATGGGTGTTTGATAATCACTTGGGCTCACCTGATGGTTGAGGAGAAAAAAGAAATATACTTAAATATTCAAAATAAAATTACATAATTTAGACTGGGAATAGTTATATCTGATAAGGAGATTGTGTTTTCATCTTGATTTCATGATTGTTACCATGGCAACTACTACTTTATTGATTTCCATGAAATGTTGTGTAACAGTTGAGGATAATAATAATAATGATAATGACTTGAATTTAGAAAGCGCCTGTCACGGGACCCAAGGACAAGATAGAAGAGAAAAGACAGAAGAGAAAAGAAAAAACTTTTTTTTTTAGCAGCAGTGTGGAGCATTAACTGAGGCCAAAGGCAGAGGTTGTGCTTGAGGAGTTTTTGGAAGATTTCGACAGATTCAGCGTTGCATATTTCGACAGGGAGAGAGTTTCAGAGGGTGGGGGCTCCGACACTGAAGGCTCTGTCTCCAAAAGTTCGGAGTTTGGTGTTGGGGATGGAGAGCAAACCTGAGTTCGATGATCGTAACCTTCTGAGCGGAGTGTTGGCTTGGATGACGTCGGTTAAATACAGTGAGGCTAGGGCATGGAGAGATTTGTAAGTGAGAAGTAGTTTGTAGTTAATGCGGGCCTTTATCAGGAGCCAGTGGAGGTGAATGAGGGTCGGGGTGATGTGCTGCCAGGGCTTAGTGTGGGTGAGAACTCTGTCAGCGGAGTTTTGTACATAGTTCTGTATGCAGTAATCCAAGCAGGAGGTGATGAAGGCGTGGGTGAGGGTTTCTGCCACGGGAGTTAGGGCCGGAATCTGGAAATATTTTTGAGGTGGAAGAAGGCGGATTTGGTGACAGATTTGATGTGGGATGATCAAAGAAAGAACACATTCAATTCCAAAGCAGATCTGGATAAACAAGTGGATCCAGGTTTTGGGATCCTTGGCAGAGCAAGGCTAACGTCCTTGCCCCCTCTTGCTCCAAGCACCCAACTACATCTACATGAAATCGTCTGAACCAGGGATTTGGTTTAGAATGGGTTCTATTGAGTGTGTTTGTGAGAGTGAAAGTCACATTAGTTAGTGCCTGAGAGGACAACAGTGAGTGATGGGGCAAAAAAAATCAAACTGTCTTTACAAAAAATGATTATCTTAAATTTACCATTTCAAAAGCAGGGAACAGCTTTTGACAGTTGTATCATCTCCCTCTGGGGGGCCGGACGACCTCTGTTTCATGAGCTGTGGAAGCAGCTCTGATATATAATACACTGACATCATTTTGAAGGTTGCCTCTGTTTGTGTGAAGGTTTAGATTCAGCTTTATTTTTTCCCTATCATAATACAGCATAGGTGGGAACAAAAATTCTGTGCTCCACAGATCAGAACGCAGGAGACATTGACAAACACACACACATTTAAAAGTCATTTAGTCTAAAAACATATGAGGAGAACTCAGCAAGCAGTCAGGGAACTTTCTGCTGTATTTTCTGTGCATTTGTCATCCTTTAGAGAAAGGGATCCACTGCAACCAAGTGGTGAAACATTTAGTTTTAGTGCAAAATAATGAATTATCTACTGACTGACTCCTGAATCCTTTTATAAATTAATACTTGTTAATATGTCCCCCAGAGTGTGAGAGGCAGGAAATGTTTTTTTTATGTAGCCTCAGGCTGCTCTGGAGACAGAACAGCTCGCCTGCAGCAAGACAAAGTCAGCAGAGAAGCTTCATACAGGACAGAGGAGGCAGGCTGAGGTTTAGGTCCTAGCTCAGGGGCACGTTGGCTGTGGTTGTTGTGGCCTGCTTGTGAAGCAATCCAACAGCCCTCTGGCTACTACTAAGTTTGTGAAAGACACACATACATCCTGCAGTCCACTGTCGTAATGCAGTGTGTGTGTGTGTGTGTGTGTGTGTGTGTGTGTGTGTGTGTGTGCGTCACTTCCATGAAGTAAATGTTGAGAAATTAAAGTGAAAGTGAAAAAAAAGTCCTGTATCCGCACCTGAGCCGGATCCGCACCAGAATTCAACTTGTCCTTCCTTTCGTCATGCTCCTCCCAAAAATTTCATGGAAATTGGTTGAGTAGTTTTTGCTTAATCTTGCTGACAAATTAACAAACAAACAGACAAACAAAATGAAAACATAACCTCCTTGGCGGAGTTGACAGCATGTGCTATTTATTCACAAATTGATTTTTATTGTTAAAAAAAGGCATTTTTGTTAATTGATTTTAATTTAGACATTACACATCCCATGTTTGTAGTAGGAGTATGGACCAAACTGGACAGGTACTGTTGGAGAATAGATTATATATGATTTAACCAGGAATCCATTGTACCCTAATAAACAAGTGAGGCGACAATATATTGTCAGAAATGTAGTATTCTGTGTTGTTTGAGATGAATATGCACTTTTTTCTCATTGACTCAAATTCACCAAGACTTTTTTTTCTGTATTTTTATAATTTCCCTCGTCGCAGCAGTGTCAGTGTTCAGAATGTGAGATTAACAGTGTGAGTGTTTTCCTCAGATATCTTTATGAACTACAAGGACCAGCCCATTGAGCAGACTGGTTTTGCTGACTGCAGTTTTTTCCAGAGCTCATCCAGCACAGCATTTGCCAATCTGTCTTCTGAGAGTTTATCTCAGCTGTCCTCATCCAATACTCAGCCGGACCAGACAAGGCCAGGCCAGGGCTGCAGTGAATACCACTCGTCCAGCATCGGATCAGAAGCCATGTCATATGGACACCAGATGTACCCCAATTCACCTGTTTCTATAGCGTTCACCACCAGCATCGAGCAGCCGGCCACTATGGCAACTATGCCTTTTTTGCACTCACCATCCCACAAGTTTGGCAACTACACGACGAACAGTGTGACCTCCACTGTCATCACCCACACCGCCTCTACCATGGGGGCCCAGGGCTCTGTGCAGCAGGGTCACGGCTTCCCACTCATGGTGGATACACACGCCCAGACTCCCTGCCACTCTCTCGGTTACCCTGCCGACATGTCTGACCCGCTCCAGGCGACGCTGCCCTCTGTCGCCACAGCCCACTGCTTCTCAGTCCCGAAGCAGGTGGCCGTCCCTGGGGTCAGGGGGAAGCAGAAGAAAAAGACGGGGGGAGCGAGGATAGTTGGTCCCTCTATCGCTCCATCTGGCTCCCAGTTTATTGCCCCCGCACCCACTAGCTGCCTCGCTCAACTGCTCTCCGGTGGCCGGGAACGTGAGTCAGCTCTCTACAACATTCTGGCTTTAACATCAGTTAATCAGAAAAAAAACCAGGATTTTTTTTTTGTGAGGAAAAAGAAATATGGGTTTTGTGTTTTCAGGGAAACCATCGCTGGGATTGGACTCAACTCTAGTGACAGCCAAAGGTCAGAGGTCATCATTGCCCAGCTCCACGGTAAGACTGTCACATTGTGTTGATACAGTCAGTGGCTGGGTACAGCATGTCTGCGTCAAACAACCTAAGGGAATAGTTAGACATTTTGGGAAATGCTATATAATAATAATGATAATCTTTATATTAACAATAATAATAATAACATTTATTATTATGCCCCTCTCATATCTAAATGATAAGTTTGAAGCTACACTCCAGTATTTTATCATTACTCTGTGTATTACCTCTTATGTTCGGTTTGGGATCATCTTCAATTTAAACTTCAGCATTTTTACTTTATAGCTTTTCATAATGGCACAGAATTGCTCCCAAACATTGTTTCAAACAAGTTTCAGAAACAGACAAGGACACATTTGATCCGTCTGGGTTCTTCGACACCAGCTGTAAATGCTGTAGATGATCAGAGGTATGAAACCTTGATTCTTTGTGCTCCAGTGACCCCTGCTGTTCAACTAACCCTGAATGGATTAGTATATATTTGTATAGCCCATATTCACACATCACAATTTGCCTCAAGATGCAACAAGGTGCCTTTAAAGGTCGACTACATTTAGAAGAAACCACCTAAAAAAAGAGTTTAACAGCATAAAAAACAACCTCAGACAGATCAATGATTCCTAAAACAACAAATTGCAAATTCAGTGTTAGTAAAATTTGGTCTCATCAAGTCTGTAAGACTCATATTACAAAACTGGTAAAATCCTAGATATCAATGGGAAAAGAATGGAGTAATATAATGATTAAGACTTCGTCATATGAACACATGGGTTGGGTAGAATCAGTGATGGGGAAGAACAAAATATAATGTATATTTGTTTATTAATGGCTATACATCCCCAAGTGTCCATAGTTTTATTGTATTTCATTTTATGTTAATGGTGGGTTGTCCTTTATTGTGTAAATGATCTGTGCTGAATCTGCGCTGTGGTACACTTGACTGATTTATTGTAAAAAAAAAAAAGAGATTATCATGAAACTTAATGATTTTCCAAGAGAAAGAAACAAAACATCAAATGTATAAACTAAAATGCTAAATGCTTGATTGACTTCCTCTAACGGGCATTGTGTAGAACATCATTCTAAGTAGAGGTTGTGTGTTTAGCAGTCAAGCCGCAGCGCACATGTTGGAGGAGCAGCTTCGCAGCTGCAGCAGGTAGCCGGCTGGCCTGTGGGGATGTCCGTGTTGACGCCTCTGCACGGCCAGAGTGCCGCCCTGGGTCACAGCAGACCTCACGCCAGCACCTCCGGGTGCCTGGGGGTGTCTACCCTGCTAGCCCACGGCTCTGCACATACCGGCACAATCCTCCTCATTCCCAAGACTGAGAAACTGTCTCCTGTCCAGCTCTACGGCACCGACAAGAGCAGCTTATCTGGTGAGGCCTCAGAACTTTTATTTTCTAAATGCACTTAGGATTCACATTTTGTAAAGAAATAATGAATCAGCTTGTCAAAGATAAATAGAAAGAAAAATATCATCTGACTACTGGTTTAGAAAAAATAAAATGCTTTTATTCAACTTTCTTATCAACTGATTAGAAATTAATTAATTAATCATATAACAATTGACCATCTTTTATGAGTTTTGGATAATTACCACACAGTGTGGTGTGTTATGAATGACTGTCACACATCTCACTCGCCCCCTGGTGGCTGGCTGCAGTATCTGTCATATATATTGGTCACCCTGCCTCCTCCATGTTAGTGTAGGGGATATTTTCCAAACTAAAAAGTCAAAAATCAAATCAAAGATGACATCTGTCATTTAACATAGTTCTTGTCACATTGATGTTTGTTCAATTGTTCATATGTCCATTATGTTTTGTTTGAATTAGTTATCTGAGGCTATAAAAATGGGGTGAAACGTCAATATTTACAGCTGAGACGATTTTGATACTGTGGCTCGATCCCCTGATCACTACCATATAGACTCTGGCTCCAGAATATCAGTGCACAATGGCCGTGTTCTTATCCGCGATATTTAAGCTTCATTTCAGGATAGTGGGAGGAAAATGGAGATGCGTCATCCATCTTTATAAACAGATAATGGCACCTTTCAACACATCTATATTTGTTCCTCTGTGTTCTCATCTATTGTGAGTGGGTAAGTAGCAAAAAGGTCAGGTTGAATAAAGATTACTGTAGAAGTCACAGCATCAACAATCATAGTATTGGATGAAAAGATGATGGAAAGCAATATAAATCAGATTTCTCTGCTATCAAGATTTTAAGGTACACAGTACAAAGCAGAGATTATGGTAAAGAAAATGTACATTTGCAGGAGTCATCCATGTACACATGATTTTAATAAAACGTTTTTATCTGTTTGTTTTAGTTAATTTTGCAGAACATCCAGGGAGAACATCAACACCAAACCCTTTAGACAAAGTCTCCAACCCAGAGTCCCCACAGTCAAGCTTCTCAGTCCATGGAAAGATAGAGTCAAGTAAGGTAATACATACTCATCTCATTCAGTCTGCTGTTTAACAGGACATGAAGCCATTGAACTTCCATGTTGAATGTTAAATATGTGAAAAGTGAAAAGTAAAGAGAAACTGTTCCAGCTCGTCAATCTCAGTGCACATTTCTAAAAATGATGTCTGCAGCAAACCGAGACCAGGAGGATAACTCACATCTCAGCAGAGCAGAAGAGGCGTTTCAACATCAAACTGGGCTTTGACACTTTACATAACCTTGTGACAACACTCAGCTCTCAGCCAAGCATAAAGGTACTGTGAAAAGATGTGCCGCTGCATAGATACTGTGAAAAGATGTGCCGCTGCATAGATACTGTGGAGATGTGCTGAGAGGTGGAGGCCACACGGCGTGGAGCTGATGCAGAGTTGAACAGGACAACTTGAATGAATGCAGATGATAACAGACCTTATTATTAAGAATGTAACCGCAGATATATTTAGTATTTGTGACTAACTGTGGTGCTCAGTATGGCTGACGTGGTGATCCTCTGTGTGCCGTCGCAGATCAGTAAAGCCACCACACTGCAGAAGACGGGCGAGTACATCGGTAAGATGCAGCAGGAGAGAGCTCAGCTGCACGAGGAGGCTCAGAGACTCCGAGAGGAAATCCAGCTCCTCAACTCTGCCATCAAGTGAGACCTTTAGCTCGGCCTGACTTCTACTGTCTCTCACACTGTGTGTGTGTGTGTGTGTGTG